ATCCTTCCTCCCCCTTGATTTGTGCCGTGCTGCAGCTAGCATAGCACAGAGCTGTGCAGATTCAAAATGTGAATGCTCAGTTTAGTTAGATAGCTACCAATGACGGCACGTAAATGGGTTCTTGTTATGATAAGTTGTTTCTCAACCATTAGCACATTTAGCAGTGAGTGAATGAGGCTAATTGACAGCGCTAAGAGCATCCTACTAGTTCTGATTGGTTGTTTTGGTCAGAACGGTTCATTACTTTAACCAGTAATAGTAATTCAGGAAGGAGATGGAGGATTGTTTTCACAGATTATCTGTCTCATAATAAACTGCTACAACATGGTGACAGCTTTAACAAATATGGAGAAAACATATTTTTTTATTAAAGTTACATACTACAGCTTGAATAAAATGCAACTACAGAGAATTTTTGAGAAGTCTGGATGTGTAGTTGCACGTTGCTTTTGACTTGCTCATGGGGAGACATTTCAGTAATCTAAAATGAATAGAAAAAAATTGAAGCAATCTACTTGCATACTGGATGTGGACTGTTGGATGTTAAATTCATGAGCAGTAAATATTGTGCTAATTATCAGAACTGAACCAAAGAAAGCAAGGCAGATGCAAGCCTTTAAAATTGTGACGCTTTTTATGGGTCAAATAGACTCAAAAAATTGTAGCAGCAGCTGCGCAAGGGGGCCCAAACAAATTTTTTATCAGGGGGCCCACAATTCCTTGCGGAATTGTGGGCCCCCTGAATTGAGGGAATTTTGGTCCCTGATCCGGACCAAAATCCAACATGTAGCACGATGTGAAAATGACAGTTTCTTCATGTAATGAGCCTGAGCTAGTTTGTAAAGAAGAATGGGTAAAAATGCCATTAGCTTGATGTGCAAAGCTGGTGCCGACGCACCCCAACAGAGCGCCGTAATTACAGTCAGAGCTGAACAATGTGCGGCCATTAACACCAGGTCAGAGCACGCCATGCGTACTGCTGCAGGAAAATGGTCTGCTTTTTCCTATATTTGATGTCCAAGTTAAACTTCTGTAAACTATTTATGTGGAAAATGTCCTTAAACCATGTCGTCCCTGATGTAGTTAGCAAACACAAACTTCTGGAACAAATATAGATGCTTCCTTCTGCCGTTTTCTCTTGATGCGAGAAGCTCTGGAGTTACAGCTGAGCTGACCTAAATACAAACCAACCAAATACCCCAGAGTCTCCTCCAAAGCCCTCTCTCTAAACCTGATGTGTCTACATTGCAACAGCTAGCCGCTGCGCTCGCCGCAGCAGCTGCCCACTCCAGAACTGCAGCATCTGGAATTCTGTCACGGCTCCAGTTCCTGGAGGGAGTCCAGTTCTCATGCAGGCCTCTCAGCCTCTCCAAGCTCTTTATGTCAGATAGAAGAGACATGTTTCCGGGTCAGTGTCCATCCAAGGCCTAGCTCAGAACCTGCTGTGTCACTTTTTAATTTCCTGACCTAAACTAAAGGGAAGCTTAACTGGGACTTTGACAGGGCTGAAATCTGCTTTTCGGTTCCATACGCCTTCAGAAAGTCCTGTTTGTTTGACTATCATCTTAATCTGTCTCAGGGGCGCCACCAGGAATCTTGGGCCCCATGACAAAAAAACAAAATTGCCTCCCTTCCCTTTGCAGCTGCTATTACAATTTCGTGAGTCTATCTGACCCATCAAAACGGTCACAGTTTTAAAGGCCTGCAACTGCCTTGCTTTCTTTGGTCCAATACTTCTGCTAGCACAATATTCACTGCTAGTGAATTTTACATGCAACAGTCCACATACTGCATGCAAATAGGTTGTTAATTTTTTATTATTATTAATTTTACCTTATTGAAATGTCTCTCCCCAGCAGAAACAGTCACAGGCAACGCAATGTGCAAAATATACATGAAGCAATCCAGCAACTACATAGCATTTTGTTCAAGCTGCAGTATATAACTTAAATAAAAATATGTTTTTTACACATCTGTTAAAGCTGTCACCATGTCATGATAGTTTGCTATAAAACAGATAATCTGTGAAAAGATCAATCTCCTTCACCTCCTCTCTGAGCTGCTACTGTCTAAAGAAATGCGCCATTCTGACCAAAAACAACCAATCAGAACCAGGAGAACAGTCTTAGTGCTGTCAATCAACCTCATTCACTCACTGCTAGAGGGGCTAGTGGAGGATTTTGGAAAGATTGTTTTAATTTATGAGTAATAAATTGTTTTTGTTGTGTAAAAGAGTAGAGAGACAGGAAAAATCCACATAGATTCCCTGGAATGATGCTAACTATCTAGCCATTGAACACAGTGTTGCTCACCTTTTTTACTGGGACAGAGTGAGGGGTTATGCTGGTATTGGGGCTAGAGCTGCTGCTGACTGATTAATCTGTTAAGTGTGGTAGGAGGTACAGGGACAAGTTAAATATATGAATATGTTAAATTATTTCCTTCATTCATTAAATGCTAGTGAAATGGAGGCAAACAGTAGTCTGTAGCTAAGCTAACTGGTGCCAAATGGTTGACAATCTCACACCTCTCGGAGAAAAACTGGGCTATATATTGACACTCTTGTCTTTTTTTCTGTCTGTCTTTTTGAAAACTTGACTTTGTTATTTTTCTAAGTAGCACAGTAACTGCCACAGTCGTTCTTGTCATCAGGAGATGACAAGAACGACTGTGGCAGTTACTGTGGCAGTTAACGCTGCTGAACATCGTCATCGTCAAGCACTAAGCAGGAACGAACCATTTCATGTAGGGGGTGTTGGGGTTATGATTGGACAGATCAGGGGCGCCATATATAGATAGCGTCTCTGATCTGTCCAGTTTGAATAAATGACTTGGTCAATAACTGACATTTTTTACATTAAGCAACAATCTATTCAGAGCAGAAGCAGATTACTGGAAGATCAGACATTCAAAACTGATTTTTCTGTCTTTAAACGCATGATAATTCAGGAGTGAAGTCAGGGTCATGCTGAGTGTGACAACAAGTTTGAGTTCCTCTTAACCCTTGTGTGTGCGAGGACTGAGGCAACTGATACAAGTGATATGGATGTGGGGTTGGTTGGACCCATCTGTAAACACAAGGGTTAAGATTCAAACTAGAAGGTAAGAAGATGATGGGGAAAAGTCATTTTTACAAAAAGATAAATGCTTGTCATGTTAGCAGTGCTAACTTTTCCTGAATCAGATTTTTAAAGTTTGGCCCATTTAACCTGTCATTCACGAGAGGACCCAAATTTGGGTCCTCTCGTGACAGGGGTGTCAAACTCCAGTCCTCAAGGGCCTCTGTCCTGCAACTTTTAGATGTGCCTCTGCTGCACCACACCTGAAAAGAATAATTAGGTCATTAGCAAGGCTCAGGAGAACCGATCTACACAGGGAGGAGGTAATTAAGCCATTTCATTCCACTGTTTTTTACCTGTGGCACATCTAAACACTGCAGGACAGCGGCCCTTGAGGACTGGAGTTCGACACCCCTGTCATTGTGAATGACAACCTGTGAACAACAGGTTAAAAGAGTAAATACAAAATTTCACTATGAACATATTGAAAACGTTTCCACAGTAAAACTTGGGCAATTGAATCAGAGTAAAAAATAAAAAAAAAGGCACATAAACATTTACTACACATTTACAGCAGATATTTTTACAATGATCGAACTTTAAGACCAGCAAAAATCCACAAACAGGCAGGGTGGATGGACAAATGGTTTTATAGGCAATCAGATGAAGGTTGGACAAATGGATGAATGAACTAACAGGTGGGTTTAGACGAGAGGATGTGGGACAAAATCTGGAACTCCACATGTTCTTCAAGACTTGTTTTCCAAACTAATCTAAACTGGTAAACGGTTTAAAACTAATTCTGGATTTTTCCACACTGCTGCCGTTTGTGTCTTCACGATACGCCTGTTTCTTTTTCTCATAATGATGTGAACTTCATCAGAAGTGATTTCCCATTTCTTCACGGGTCAAAGGCTGAGAAGTTTTGAAACCATTCCCACAGCCAAATGCCAATGCTTAATTATAGAAAGTCAAAATAAAAATTGGAGAGGTAGAGCATTACAGTAATTTCTAATTGTTCTATTTGCATCATTGCATCTTGCCAAAAAAACAAATCACAGATCTAATTTAGAGATCGACAATCAGTTCTGGTTGCAAAAAACTAAATAATTAAGCATAGTGTTTTGCATATGAGTTGCTTCTGGACATATTTAATTTCACGGTCCTTGTTACTATGCACACTGCTGGAACACATAATGACAGACATGTTCCCACACGAGAGATGCTAGCATGCTAGCAGTGTGCTGCTCTATCACCACCATCTGTGATCCTTATCGCCAGCAGAGATTCATCTTGATCCTGCTGGGATGGAGGCCAGGCCCAGCAGACTGTGGCTAAGTGGTCCATTCCTGCCTTACTCTCTTCCATCTTTCATGGCTTTTTCATTTCAGAGTCCTTTATTACCATGCCAAGCAGGGATCAGCACTTCCAGATTTTTAATTAAAATCAAAAATCTGCAATAACACTGGAGACTCCAAGGGTTCGCTGGCAAATGGGTCGGCGGTTTTGTTTCTGTCTTTAACCCTGTGTTACTCGTTTAATCAAAGCCTTCCATCAGTTCTGTTCACTTCACAGAGTAAAACGTCCTGACATAATCCAAGCAGGATGTACAGATTTATAGAGGCCACGCCTTCATCTAAAGCGAATGAACTCTACAGCCTTAATCCATTCAAAGAGGCTGAGAAGAATCCCAATCCTTCAAAAGTCCCTCGTTTGACTCCCCAAAGACAGAAGGCTGCTTGTGTGGACATGGACTGGAAGAAGAACCCCGATGCTTTACTTCAGTCACCAGGGCGTGGTCATATAGAGTTATCACACACTTTCCAGAGCACAATAAAATTAATTCCATCTACCCGTCTGGAATTACCCCGAAAAACTGTCCGTTTCCCTACCTGGGAAATTAGGGGATTGTCAAGTTTCCCGGAGCTGCGGTAAAAGTTTAATCTATCTGCAGAGTTTCCCCTGTAAGATGAAATCATGAGCAGGTGGCAGAGTGGGGCAATATTTTAATTAGAAGGCTGTAAAACCTCCAACAGCTTTTCCCAGAGCGTTTTAAAGCAGACGCAGAAATACAACGGAGGAAATCATAAGGTTTGGAATAAAACTTGGGGAAGATGTGCTGCAGTAACGTCCCAATCAAGTCTGAATCTTACAATCTGAGGATGTTTTTTAATTCAACAAGCTGCAGAAAAACTGGCATGTTTGCTATGAAAGATCGCAGGGAGAACTAACCCTAAATATCTTATCTTCTATCATTATCTCTTCACATATCAAGAAGGTAAAGGAAGGAGGGAGGAAGGGAGGGAACTTAGGAATCCAGGCCTCCTCCTTCCACAAACAGTAAGGGAGGAAAAGCTCAACGTTCTTAACATCTCATTCACTGAGAAGCAATGGAGCAGGAGAGGGAGGAGGGACGGCTGAAACAGTCATCCCACATCCCACCCACTCTGGGAAGCATTCCACTCTTCTGTCTGCTCACCGTCATTAAGCAAGACCACCTGCTGCTACACCAGAACCCCCATCAGGTTCTCCAGAAGCCCAGTTAACCCATCAGCAGCCAGCCGTTGCACCGCTGTACACACGTATCATATGGAGTCAGAAAAAACCTCCTTCATAACGACACTATGGGATTTAAATAGACACAACACAAAAAGGACAAAAAAACAATATCTGATGCAGCTGTGGAATGACTCTACATAGGAGATTAAAAAAAAGAGAGAAGGAGAGGAGGGATGGAGACTGGAGGAAGAAACAGTGCTTTGTTGCTGTTCTCCGTCAGGGCCTCCGGGGATAAGACTCTGACATCAAGTTATCAAAGGCTGAAACAAAAGCAGCTGATAAACAGAGAAAGATAGATACCATCTCACTGTGACTCAACATTTCTCCATCAAGGTGCTTCCTCTCTCCCAAAGGCCCATCACTCCCACCTTGCTGATGACAAATTGGAATGAAAATGTCAAATAGAAGAAATGTTGTTTTTTCTATAAATAGAAGAAATGTATGAAAACAACATTTCTTCTATAAATAGAAGAAATGTTGTTTTTTCATTAACCCTTAAATAAAAAACAGCTTCAAGTGTATAGATCATCAGTTTTTAGACAATCAAACCAAAGAGAAGATCTTTGTCTTTTAACCCAGAACTGATAATTTGATCATCAACTCTTTTAGTTATTTTACGATTGTCAATATTTAATCAATAACCTCATTAACATCAGCATCATTAATAGCCATACATCTTTTATCATATGCCCTTATCCCTAGTGAGGTCATGAAGGCTGCTAGTGCCTATCCTCCAGAGGACAGAGGGTGAGAGGAGGGATCACCATGGACAGGTCACCAGTCCATCAGGGCAATATCATTAATAATTACAATAAATATGTGGATAAAGTGTTACCACGTGGTAAAACTCAATAAAAACCAGCAACCATACTGGAGTGATGATGCTATCTAATACACAAAGACTCAATTCAACAATTCTCTCACTAAATTGGTCTTCAATGCTAAAATTCAATCAACTAAGCAAAAACAAAGCAGCAATTTTTGAAGCAATTAATGGAGCTTTGAACTGCTACATTTCTTACCTTTTGTAGCCGCTAGCTGTGCTTTACTTGCATGTCAGAACAGTTCCTACAGAAGTATTACCACATGGTAAGAATCAAATAAGCAAATTTTAAAGTAAATCTTTAGTAGGACTTTAGAACTGCTAACTTACAGTCCTGTAGCTGCTAGATGTGCTGCAATACTAATGCCGTCTTGTGCATTAACACACTCAGCGTTTATAATAATTTTCCTAAACTGAAAATATGCACTAAATATTTAAAATTGCATCTGAAACCTTGCATAGCTTAGAGTAGCGGTTCTCAACGTGGGCGGTACCGCCCCCCAGGGGGCGTTCAGAGGACAGCAGGGGGCGCTGGCGGACATTTTTACAAAAGGGGGGCACTGGGATGCCTTTGGGGGGCGTTTGGTCGAAGGTAAACTTTACACCTTAAATGCACAACAATACCAGTTTAGACTTTGAGCAACTTGGTAAAACTGTATTGTTTAACATTAAATCATGCTTGGCTGCAACTGTATCGATGGCAGCTCTCCTTCTATTCAGTGTTTGTAGCTTCTGTTAGCTTCTTGGCGCAGCTCCGTTCTGCTGCTACTGGTAGCTAAAATCACCTCACTGTGTATCCCTCTGAAAAATGAACCCATTTAAATAAAGAAATAAAGAAATCCTTCCATTGTGACACCACGATAGAGAGCGTTCATTTTATAGCGTTAACACTGGAGCTGTAAGTGGTCAGGTATGAAACGGGGGTGATAGAACAACGGTACCACAGCACTTTTAAATTTCAATAACCAGAATACTGAAATTGTTTCCGTTGCTTTAAAAGGTTTATGTCAGTCTGCCTTTTCCCCATCGATACGTTTCCCGACCGCTGCGCAACTTAGGGGGTTAGAAAAATAATAAAATAAAAAAAACGACGCGCACATTGCGCAAAACTCTGAAACAGGAGGAGGACATAAAACGGAGCGACGAAGTAGATGTGAATTATGGCATAAAAACAGAGAATCGGACGCTGAACATTGAAAAATCAACATGATGTGAAACACATGACGATTAGGCAGCGCA